GTTTCGTTTTCCTGATCATTCAAATTTGCTTTGGAAACGCGTTTCTTGTTTGTACGAGGCACGGGCACCGGAGCCGGCGAAAGTTCATCATTATCGAAGCTGTTCAGCGTTTCCCACGTAAAAAACGTTGCCTTACCGTCGCCACTGGCTTCTGATCGTAGTGGCACAGCGTCGGGGTTCGACAGCGGTCCTTTGAAGGCCTGGTTTTCGGAACTGCTCGACGATGCTACTGCAAACAGACATGCTTCGTTATGCTACCTAAGAATATTTATAGCAAACGACGTACCACAAATTGAATCTGAGGTTTCCCCGCTAGGTTTCTTCTGAAATATTTAATGATATTAATAAAATAAATTTGTAAAAAAGCAAATGTCAAACTGTAAAAGACAGTCTAAGCAAAACGCTTTGCCGCAGACCGCTGGTAGATGTCAACGCTTGGTCCTGTGGTCGCCGAATGAATCAATACAACTGGATGATGGTCAGCTGCACCACTTGTGTGACTCGGCTCATCATATGTTATGTGACAGCTGGATGGCTATCTGTGACTGATATACGATAGCGACTGTGCGAGTCAGCACGTCAGCGCGCTGTCAGCGATCACGAGTTGGAACTTATGTCATTGACAGATGGTCATCTGTATCAATGAACTGACTTCCCCTTTCATACCGCCTACGAGTGAAGTTTTTATGAGAGTACAACGTGAAGGCGTTGTCAAACTATGAATGCCGATGATTTTCATTTTGTGTAATGATTCTATCGTGGTGATTACGTGAGGTCGCTAAGTCAGCGTGCTGCTATTCATTAATACCTTATGATACACGTACTCGAAAGTTGTTTGTGAGTAAAACGTGAAACTTCCTTCTACTTCTGTTTGTGACAGTTACGACAGGGTCATTAAATCGGCACGCCTCACCGCTAACATTAAAAGTCACAAGTTTAAATCTAATAAAGCTTTTAGTGGCATATCACTGTTTCTGTTTCCTTTGTACCCTGACTTCATCACGTTGCATATCAACGAAAAGCCCTCTCTGAGCATAGCATTTGTCAAAACATTGAATTTCTAAGTTTCGTTTAATGACCCACTATGTTAATGACAGGTGTCGTTGTAATTCAGCGCCAGGCCACCTAGTTGCGAGTTTTAACTGGGTAAGAAACTAATGGATAGAAGTATGAGATGCTTGATTCAACCATTATCCATCTATCAGTAGATTGTGAAATTTATAAATTCATTAGTTTTCACGTTATTTTATGATTTCTTCAGTCACCGCGTCAGGTCAGTCAATCGGTGTACAGTCATTCACTCGAAAATTGGGATCTTTGCCCTTTGCACACACATATTTCAAACCCTTTTTTGTTTTTTTTAATCACGTCACTTGTCGATGGGTAGTTCTCCATGAACACAGTATTGAATTTTGGTCAAATATTCGAATTCCAAGGAATTACTATTTAACTATGCAATCTTGTGCAACATCGTTGAAGAAAAGTCGGGATGCGGATGAAAGAATAAAGTCTATTGTGAATGACTAATAATAGGGATATCACTATTCATCTCATGGATTAGCACAAAGTATGAAATGGCACAATAATGTAATATTTTAGCATAATAAATCATTGTTTCTATCAAAAGATAATTAATTTTTGCTTTCTTTTATTTCATTTTTGCTCGATTTCAACTGTTTCATTCGGTTGATATTTGAAGGTTAAAATTCTTTGAAACAGATTGATAAACCTATCGTCGGTTTCTAGTTAACAGTTTGGCAGAATCCATTGAATGATACATGGTAGAAATATGTGCAGAGAGGAATTTTGGCTTAAAACCATATACAAATTCATGATTGTGACAAAACTTACGTATTACGCTCAGAGAACTTTTTGTTGATATACAACACGACGAAGTTAGTAACAAAGGAAACAAAGATAGGCTTCTAAAAGTTCCGTGGATTCAGACTAGCGATTGTAACTGTTAACGTTCACTCACGCTGATTTAATAAACTAGCGTAATAGTCACAATGAAGTCGTCAGACGATGATGCCAACTGTGAATTTGATACTTAGGACGAAAGTTTCATATTTTGTACACAAAATATGACGTGAGGGGTTAAGTCTGGTAATTGATACAGGTAACCACGTGCAATTATAGTAACTAAGACTCCCGATCAAAGAACACCGCGCTGAATTAGCGACCTCACGTACTCACGACGATAGAATCATAAAATAAAATGTAAATCACCGATATTAATAGTCTGACGACGGTATCGCGTTGTACTCGTGTAGGGCTTTCCACTGGTCGCCCCTTCCATGAAGAGCGAAGTCAAATTTTTGCAGATGATACGAACTCAAACTCGCCGACCGCTGCTTGTGTGCTGAGGTAGGACGTCGCACAGTCGTCACAACGAAATTGTAATAAGACCAGCTTGACAACGTTGTCTCTATTAAACTCTCGCAGAGCTATCCATTGATTTACAACATGATTGACTGACTGATGGAGCTCACTACCGTCCACATATACAGATTCAATGCGGCAACCGCAGGACCAAGCGCTGTCAAGAAACAGCGGAAATGTCTCATTCTAAAAAATGTCAATGACAGATTTATCTGCTTGTTAAATGAACTAATCGGTGTCGACGAACTGCCACTCTCAAACCCTAGAAGTCAGCCAGAATGCTGCAATGCATGCTTGAGGCATTTCAGCCCAGTTAGACGACGCCCTCTTGCGTCCCATGCTCTGCAGGCGCCAAATATCATGAAGCCATGGCCTGCTTAAATGGTCCCCTAGGCGACTATAAGTAAGGGGGGTAGTAAAATAACGTAGTTAGTGTAAAGTGAGAAATACACTTTTTTCTTCACCTCTTCGTTTTCACCGTTTCATTCCGGTATCTATATTTTGAAACAAGAAAGACTTTCTTCTAAATTTTCTATCGCTAGATCGAAAGAGTATACGGCAACGATTCAGATCCAAGATGTGAATACCAGAGAAGAAACTCCCAAGTTCGATTCTCTTGGCAAAGCCCGATGACAGATGGCTGGCCAAGGTCTAGAACTAACTAGAATATATTAGGCACATGGTATTTTAACATCTTTAAATCTAGTGTATAGAACGTGGAGCCTGCGAGAATGACTGAAAAACAGAGCCACGTGCGAAATTTCTTGAAAAGCTATATTCGTGGCTCAAACGAAAACGAGGCTGTGAAAATGAATGTGGTCAGACGTGAACCTCCTTTACAAAGCCAGTCAGTCACTCGCTGTTGCACCTCTTATCATGACATAACGCACACGTTGTAGCAATTCAATGGATATCTCAACAGTCTAGCTTGGGTAAGACGAAAAATTTTTTCACTCACCTAACATACACTGACTGCCCGTATCAAATGTTTTCTGGAGCTATTCAATTCCAAAGAAATACTAATAAATTAATAAGCACATAGGGAGGGATCAATAGATAAACTGACAATCCTAGCCTATCGACGTTGTTTTCAAGCATTATTATGTACCTGTCGATCAAAAGCCAAATGTTGTATACAAATGTCGAGTGATAAAAACTAAATTTTTTGTTTTTATAAACTTTATAGTAAATGTCCATAACCCCAAAAGCTGAAAGCTTGTTCCGCCTTTACGACATCTGTTAAGATAATAAAATTAACCCTGAAGGAACGTGGCCCAAATTCGTTTTTCCTTGATTGTAACTTTATCTTTCATGTCTGAGAACAATAAACAGTTTTGCCTCGTCATTTATAATAGCCGAGAACAAAAGGGGAAAGAAAATTTTTAATCTTTTACGTACCGACTTCTTTAAATTTTTCGCTTAAGGATATCATTGATAGCATTCTTCTGTCAAGGCTCTAAACCTTGTTTCGATGCATGCCACTAGTCTGAATAGCTTCTTCCAGAAAGTAGCTTATTGCCGCTGGTTGCTGATAATGCGTAGTCTTCCGCTTCCTTCAAACTTCGTGATATTTTTACCTCAGAAGGATGATACTCCGTTACTGTAATTCGCTATGTTACTCAAATAGTAGAAATCGAGAAAATTTTACCCAAAATTACAGTGGAACCATCAATCTGGAACATAGCTGTAACGTCCAGAAATAACTAATTGCGTTGAAAAGCAAACTAAAGGCATTAGCTCCTTGCTATTCAGAAACAGTATTCTAAAACGCTTTGCGTATATCTGCCATTAACCATAACAGACAGCTAAATTAAGGAAGTCAACATTTCAGAAATACCATGGTATTTTCTTTGGAAAAGATTCTGCGGATTAGCAGTAAGGAAAACAAAAATATGAGGTAGTTAAAAAGACGGAATTTGTCATAGGCAACTTACTGGTAATTTGCTATCTCGAAGCAAATCTGGAGTTGCCGATTGAGGAACTCGGTCTTGTTCGGCATTTGCGGAGATTTCATGTGCTGGACATTCAACATGCACAAGAGGCTCTGACAGGAAGTCGTCATCTGAAGTAAAACGAGTCAAAGCTATTAAAATGAAGACGAATCAAGTGCAAGTTTCAAACAAATTTTTTTTGTCTGTAATAATTAATCGACACTTGGACAGAGCTCAAACGCACTGAATCAACTTCAGAGGTTTTAGTCTTAGATGTTTATTAGGAAAACATGTTTGACGCCCCAACACAAAAAATATTGGCTTTAAAAGATATTGCACGTAGCGTAGTGCATGGCTTAATTGGAAACGCAACATGTCCATAAAAATACGGAGTGACAAAATGCATTAATAACTCGGCACAAACCGCAGAAAAGTTCTAATTGCAGAAGCGGTTCAAGGTGATGACCTCATCAAGTACATAATAATATGCAATAAACCGCGGAAGCACAAGTATCGTCAGAAGGACACTGTTGCTTGTTGCTAAGATTATTTTAAACCGCTTCCGTA